GGCTGCCAGGTCGGCTCCGCTCCCCCCTTCCCCCTCCTGGAGCCCGTCCAGCCCCTCGGCCTCGTGTCCGGCACCGGTGACTAATGGCCAAGTAAATGGGATAGATTGGGGGCTGTCACCGTAAATCACAGCACCGCGCCGCAGGTGAGGTTTCCATCGGCCAGGAGGGACGGAACTGGAGCCCCAGCCCCCAGGGGACCAAAACCCACTGGATGGAGTGCCGGGAGTGCCGTGGTGAGTGGCCGGTGGGCAATGCTCCCGCCGCACCTGCCCACACTGCGCCTGGCGCCAGCCCATGCTCCATCCCCTCACCTTTTGACAGAAAAATCCCTTCCCAGGCAATAACACTCGAGTTGGCAAATATTTACCACCGGGTAATTCCCGGCCCTCCCTCCGCTTCCCACCCCTCTCCAGAAACACTCGATGCCTTTTGCATTTATCACTACTGACCTACATTTTTATTTTCTGGAGCCTTTTGTGAAGCCGCAGGCTGTCCCCAGGCTGGCTGGGGTGTCCCAACGTCCCCCCCCACCATGGGCAGGGGACCCGTCACCCCATGTGCTGACCTCGCAGAGCCCAATCCCTCCTGCTCAAGCGCCCCCTTGACATCAACCACATTTTTTTCCCCCCTCTAGAGATCAGCAAATTCCATCGTGGGACTTTTTGTGCTTCCCAAAGCAAACAGAGGCGGGAAGGTGCGGCCACCCGCTGCAAGGATGCTCTCGAGCAAAAGGGTTGTGCTGGGGGGGGGTGGCAGGGAAGGGGTTAAACAGGTTATAAATTACCCATGGATGTGGAAATGTGACTGAGAGGAATATAAAGAAAACTCTGACTGCTGGATTCTTTGCATTTCTAGCCTCTTTATTTTTCCCCCAGGTCACTTTAAAAGGATGCAGGCAGTCAGAGGCAGCTCCGCTGCGCCTCTCCGCCCGCTTTTTCTGGGGTTTTGGGTTTTTTTGTTGTTTGTTTTTTACACCCTGGCCCTTGAGCCAGATGCTGTCTCTGTCCAAGGACTTTATGGAGCGAGCTCTGGCTGGGAAATCAAGTAATTAGATTAATTCAGGGTAGATGTACTGGGTCCGGCCCTGCTGACACACGATGGAGGGCTGGCAGGAAGGTGATGGCTGGTGGGAAGCCAGCGCGAGGATGCTCAGCCTGGGTTTGGGGACGTCACCAGGGCCACCCCGGGGTCCTGGATCCATCCGGGGGGAATCACATCCCGCCTGGGCAGAGCAGGGAGCTTGTGGCTGTATGTTTGGAAGCTGGGCCCCACGGCCAGATCCTGCACCGC